CCCAAGAAGTTTTACACATATACAGTTTTATTGCGCTGTGCCACTTAATGAAATAACAGTGGTTTTAGCTCTGTCTGGATTTGTTTTAGCACCAGCACAATACTACGAATGGAGTAACAGACTACAGCCGAGTTAAATGCAGCAGTTAAGGGACTTTACGACTTAGTAAAGCTTTGTCATAAATCGTAATGCGATAGACAGCTGCAGACTGGGAGTTTACTTTAGTTATACGAAATAGCGACGATACAAGCGTTTCTTATTTGATTTCGTCAGCCTCCTACTGATAATCCTAGTATTGGGGAACTCCCCACTATATGGAGTGTCCACCTCATAAGACGTGTAGGAAGTCTTTCAAGGAGGCCTTTTTAATAGTGGACTTGTAAGAACCTGTAATAATAATGATGACGGTTATAAAAATTATCGCTATTCTAATAAAACTCATGTAGTATTTAGGAACTTTTGCATGCTACATTAGCATTAATTGGCACAGATTATAAATAAATACCGTTCTTTAAGTTGAATCATTTAAATTTAAAAAAATACGTGGTAGAGCCACGCTGTAGTTATATTATTGTTGTAGCGTGAATGGGTCGGCTCAACCGGGGTGGGACCACGCTCTCACAGAATACCAGCATAAAATAGCAGTGTAATGCTGCTGTGTTTCGTATGGTGAGTGTAGAGAACCTGAGACCCTATTTACCGGAATCGAGGCATTCCATCTTTGTCTTCAAAGGTGAAGACGCATTTGCATTTTGATTCTTAGTTGAGGTTAAATGTGGACGTCTATGGGCCACAGCATCCACTTGCCGTCATGTGGACTGTGTGCTCGTTTGTCACCCAATGCTATAAAAAAATTAAATAGTTAGTTATAAGACATAGGAATTATTAGTTTTAAGAGAATGAAAAATTTAGATGTACTTCAAAGTACACGCGAATGAGAGTCTTTTACTCTGTTCCTAAATATCCTCTATAGCGTAGGATCTCTTTTTTGTCTAGTAGTTCGTCTGGGTAGGTACTATTCTCTTTCCGGTAGGTACTATTCTGGGTAGGTTATTTCTACCGCATGAAAGGAGTGCCTTCACTGCTGTGGGGTGCTGACGGGTATTATCACACAGTATTATTATAGGCTGTGAGGCATTCCATCTTAGTCCTCAACGGTGACAATGCGTCTGAACCCTGCTCTGTTTGAAGTTAGTTAGTGTCCATGGACTTAATTAATAATTTTTCATCAGGCGGACTGTAAGTTCTTTCATCATTTCAGTGATATAAAACAAAATATTTTCAGTTTTTAATAAGAAAAGGTGAGGAAACGTGATTTTACATTTTTGTTCGACAAACGCTGTTTCCCTTACGCCGCCGTACTGCTTATACCAAGAACCAGCACTTACCTCAGTCCGTTTGTCCCATTACACTTTATGTTACGAGAATGTGTGGAATCACCGCAGGTGTGTGTTAATTCTTTATAGCTGCGTTAAAATTATGATAAATTAAAGAGATAATAGCAACTGATTGAAACATTCCAATAAGCAGCGAGTCAGTCGGACTATGTTTAGATAAAAATCTGTGTATAAATGTAAAAATATTGGTATACATAATCATGAAACCCAATGTCCTACCAGTCGCCTTTTCGGACATTCTAGGCGAGTAACACTGTTGGCACATTCTTTATTCGTTATAAGTCCTACATACCCATCGGACCTATAAGTCCCAGATCAACATGGAGCAACACATGAAGTTAGTAGATACCAAGTAACCGACACTTAATGATTCCTTATATTTACGCGATAAAAGCGATAAAATCCGTAAAAATAGTTTTATTTAAACTGATATTTATATTAGTACAGAACCTATCGCCTCCCTCGTCATTTTTCTGTAAATAGTCTTCTGCTGGACAATGGCTTTTCCCATGCGTAGAGGAGATTTGCCGTAATCGCCACGCCTTGCAAGCGGATTAGCGAACGCAGCAGGGCTGCAACTAGAGTAAATTTATTTTATATCGCTGGGTGCCTGAAATTATACCAAATCATATCTTTTATACACTTGTGATCCGCCCCGGTTTCGCACGGATGATTTCTGCGTCTCGACAACATCGCCACCTAATGGGTACAATTATGAATCTAAATCATTCTCGAATCAACTTGATCACACAGACACGCACGCACGGTGCGCGCACTCACGCCCCGCACGCACCGCACTCTCTCTCTCTCTCTCTCTCACCACACACACGCACACACACACCTACACACATGCTCGCACACACACACACACACACACACACACACACACACACACACACACACACACACACACACGCACACAAACATCAAAATCTCAAGCCATGGAAGAGTTCAGTCACGTACATGGGTAGAAGAATATAATATGCATGATTATATTATACATATAATGTTATATGTATATATAGTCCTCCCTATCAATTTCGATGACGGCGACCCTAGGAACTATGGATTTTGCCTATCATGTGCCCTTATATGGCTCGCTAGAACTTTGTCTTAAATACCCTTTGGCATGTATGACAGTAGAGTTGACGAGTTGTAAGTACATAAAAACCTTCCTCTTCAATAATTCTATCTATTGATGAAAACCGCATCAACATCCGTTGGGTAGTTTAAAAGATCTGAGCGTACAGACGGCGGGAATCGACTTTGTTTAATGTTATTTGGAGTAAACCAACATAATTATTGAGAAATAGTCCAGTAGATTTTTACCTTAAATGCTAATGAATATTATCAGAGTGCATTATTGTAATGACCATGAACGTTAAGAGCTGTCTAATTTAGTACCTACGTTTCATTTTATTTAATAACGCGGATCTTAGGTAATTAATTTTTAACGTCTTTAATTTATTGAAATCACAAAGTAACGCCTGATTATAGAATTATATATAAGTATAATATAGTATATAAGTTAATATTAACTAGAGAGCATTATTTCCGAGAGATAAAAATTTAAAAAGATTTTTACAATTACACGATCTAACAAGCCTGGATCGCAATACATTAATCGGACACAAAAGCTCTTTTGAGTCATTATTGGACACCCGCGGTATTAGATGGAATGATTGTTTCTCTAAAACCGTAATGCATGGCGTAATGGCGTAATGGGTCCTAATATTTTGTTGCCCTATAATATACATTTTAAGGTATATAATAACTACATTCTCATTACGGGGGCTATAGCATTTACATTTTATTGGTTTCTAATACATTTCAATGCAAATACATCACTGTCTGCGACCTATTGAAGGATCATTTATTCAGAAATCCTAACTCAGTTCGCCTTAGTCAGTGGGGTCGGCTCGACCGGGGTACAGTCCATTTCACGAAAGAAGTTTCGCGGAAAATATGCGAACGAAATTTTTTGTCTGGAATTTGACACCTGATGTCAAACGTTGCAAAGACTGTGGTGCCGCGACTAAGGGACTTCTTTCGTGAAACGGACTGTAGGTACACACACACTTACAGAATACCAGCGTAAAATAGAAGCTTAATGCTACTACGTTTCGTTCGCAATTATATAGAACCGGGAACCCTTTTTACAACACATATACATTTTTATTTGTAATTGAGAATCCCTTATCAGGTGGACTGTGTGCTCGTTTGGCACTCTTATGCATTCATCATCGTTACAGTCCTTCACATGTTCACTACTGTACATAGGCCTCCCCTAAGGAATGATCAAAGTACGGTCCTGAGCCACCTGCATCCATCGGCTTCTTGCACGTCTTATCTGGTCGTCACTCCATCTCGTGGGGGGTCGCCCTACACACTGCCCACCGGTACGAGACTGCCACTCGAGAACCCTTCTTCCCCATCGGTTATCGGTTCTTCGATCTATGTGGACGGCCCATTGCCCAAATAATAATATAATCACGCAATGCGAGGACGTATTGACGTTGCTTTTCAATATGTGCATTACAGACATTCTCCAAGTAAAAAATAATTCTCTCAACTCATCTTAAAAAAGAGTAACAAACAGCCTAAGCTAGCCTAATACTTCTCCGACATGCGTTGTCACGATGGTTTCTTTCGCGGCCAATAATAAGCACTAAAGATATACAATATTTATAAAGCACAAATAATAATTTATTGATGCTGGCGTTAATCGTACTCGAATCATAATCATGTCTTCTATAAAATTTTCGAGGAGCGCTTAGGAGCTAGCTACTACGATAATAATTACTTATTATGTTTAAAAACATTCTTCTTTATCGTTGCTATTTCGACGTTATAAACTTTTTTTTAATTCTTTTCATATATTTACGCGAACACAACACATTGAAATAAAACTAGTTTTTACGGTTTAGATCGCGTATACTTACTTTATATTTCCGAGGTTTCGAGCACTTTGCAACACCCATGGTCACGGGGAGGCGTTCCAATATCATAGTTAATCACGGCTACCTCCAGATTAAAATATTAATTTTGGTCCCAATCTACGCAGTATGAACTTAATATATATCCTGTAGTCTTGAAGTTGTGTGCTTGGGTTGGGATTTAGTTTTATTAATTAAAGTATCCCAAACAGATGGTAGCACCCAGCCATATTCTCTATTGAAGTTAGGATATGTTTTGACTGCAATACTATTGCGAATTATCCTTGGAAGTAAACGAGCATTTGTGGTCTATCAAATATGATGTGGTAACGGGGGCGATCCTGTACATGTTCATAGACTGCAGACCTCCCTGAGCGTCGATCCTTTACATCAGCTATATGCTATATTTATAGTTTTAGTCTGGAAGCAGCCGCGGTTGTCGAAATAAGTAAATATACGCGATAAAATTCATTAAACTAGTTTTATCAATGTAAGTTGTCTTATTCCTCCTCATCGATTTTAGTCAATGTCATTTTTTTAAACCAAATGGAAAAGAAATATTCCGATTTCTTGTGCTTACGCGAACACTACGCATTGAATTTAACTAGTTGTATGCGATAAAATCCCATAGAACTAGTTTTATTCAAAGGAATATTTTGTTCTACAGATGGACCATTATTCATCATACGCTGGTGTACAATATTCACCATTAGATATGGCTGAATATGTTTTCTGGACAGGCGATGAGCGCGGCGTGACTACAGCAATCGAAGATTTCCTCCAAGAGGGCATGGTTGGTATCTGTTTTATATTTGACACTAGCGATCCGCCCCGGCCTCGAACGGGTGATTTCGAAACAACAGCGCCACCTACCGGGTGCTATATCTATGTCTATCGGGTGCTATATATATGCTATATCTAAGCCATCCAGGGACTAACTCAAATACCCAAAAAATTTCATCAAAATCAGTCTAGCTATTTTCGAGTTTTAGCGAGACTAACGGACAGTAATATTGATTTTATATATAAGAAAGTTAACACACGAATAATATAGTAATTTAGAATCACAAACTATATTACTAACCATAGAATACTATAATACACAATAGAATGGCTGTCAACCTTATCTTGTGTTAATTGATATGTAAATGACAAATTAGTGGCTATACGTGCTCCGCCCACTCCCCCGTTCTATTATTTATGTATTATAGTTTTCTATGTCACTAACTAATCTTAAGTACGAATATGTCTTTAAAATAAATGGTCTCTTAGTATCTTAATGCCTAATGCAATATACCAGCATATTAACAAATCTAAGCTGCGTTAAAAACGTACAAGATTATTATAGTTTTAGGTAGTCAGATTCAATTCCGCCTAGGAGTACGTCTGCGTTGGTACCACCTCTTTCTAAGCAATTTCATCCGCCAAACAGAAGTGGTTCCACTGCTGTGTTCCAGTCTGAAGAGTATAGTCATTATAATTGCAGACTAAGAGGCATTCTATCCTCAGAGGTGACAATGCATTTGCCTTCTTTGTTTAAAGTTGGCTGCAGGTATCTGTAGCCACTTGTGGACGTGAAGGAAAAGGGGAGATCTCCCGCCGGACAAGATATTATGCCCGGGGAGCGGCCAACGCTCCGATTAGTACTTCGGAGCTGTTCTATATATATACTGTTTTTACTACGAAACTTTGATAGCGCGATTTAGGCTTCAATTTGTTTCGCTTGTGACGTGACGAAAACGCCGCCACACATTTACAATTAGGTGGACCGTATTCGATTGGCACTTTAATTTTATAAAAAAAATACGGCTTGAACTCTATAAAGGCTATATTAAATCATGTAATAGTGTTTTAAATTTTTTGTACAATAAATATAAAACTAATATTTGTAGGAATAAAGACACAAAGATGTAATAAATTTACAAACATAAAATACCAATAAAATTAAGTTGGCCTATTATCCTTGGACTTTCGTCCAATAATAATGGGTCTCAAGAGCAGCTTTAATCTCATATTGTTTTAATATTTTCGTCGTAGAGCTTTATTGCAGCTATATTATAATTACAACATGAATGTGTCGGTCCTACCAGGGAAGGACCAGATATAGCAGCTTAATGCTCTGCTACAGCTGCTGTGTTTCTAATGGTGAGTGTAGAGAACCGGAGACTCTTTTACTGGCAACGAAGCACTTCACCTTAGTTCCCAGGAGTGACGACGCATCTGTATTTTGATTAATCGAGAATAGATGTAGATGTTTATTGACCACATCATCCACTTATTATTCCTTAGTTAAAGGACATAAAATTTAGTGAAATTAAGTTATATTGCAGATGACAAAAGAAGACGCGATTAATTTCTTACAAGAGATCAAGTTCAACATCGACTACCTCCGAGCTCACTACTCACAGAATTTGAGAGCAGCTGAAGAGAGTGCTAAGCAAGAGAAATTAAGGAATATTATTCTAGAACAGAATGCTAAGGTATGTCCCTACTTTAGTTTATTACTATTACCTACTTATTAAATAATCTTGGATTCGGATTCTTGAGGTAAGTATATAGTTTATTATAAATGAATAATGTTTAACTTACTGTTTTGTTAAATTTATTTATTTATTTATACTTTCATGCACAAAGTAATGCGTACATAAGTAGTACATATGGCAGACTTATGCCATAGGGCATGCTCTCCGAGTTAACCACTAGGCTAAACAGAGATAGATATAAAAGTTTAAAAAAATATAAAGTAACCTGTCCAACAATGAGCCACTTAAAAAACATAATAACTCCGGTGATTTTAAGATATTAGGTATAAGTTTTGTGGTGAAGATAGCAAATTTAATTGGCTAAAGACTGGCATTATTCCTTTTCTTATAATGTTAATAGATATTCCACGACCAAGGTATTTAAGAAAATGGAAAATGATTTATTGTGTATATAAGTTTGTACACAATGCATCATCATCATCATCATTACAGTCGTTCACAAGTCCACTCCTGGTCAAAACCAAAGTGACCGACATATCCCATCGGATTAGTAAGCTGAAGTGGCAATGGGCCGGCCATATAGCTCGAAGAACCGATAACCGATGGGGAAGAAAGGTTCTCGACTGCCAGCCTCGTACCGGTAGGCGTAGTGTAGGGCGACCCCCACGACCTGGTAAGACATGCAAGAAGTCGATGGCTGCAAGTGGCATTACTTGGGGAAGGCCTATGTTCAGCAGTGGACTTGTGAAGGGCTGTAATGATGATAATGATGATGATGTCGGTCACTCTGATTCTACTGCGGTTATCCTCATTTCTGAGTTTATCACGCAGAGAAACTCCGAGCATAGCCCTCTCCATAGCTCACCGAGCGACCTTGAGCGTCCTCATACGGCCAGCCGTAAAGAACCACGTCTCAGATCCGTAAGTCATCACTGGCAACACGCACTGGTTGTACAGTCTCGTTTTCAGAGTTTGAGGTATACCTGACGAGAAGATGTGTCGTAATTTCCCGAACGCTGCCCAGCCGAGTTGAATCCGTCGATTGACCTCTGGGTCGAAGTTGGACTTACCTAGTCGGACTATTTGTGCCAGGTAAACGTACTCGTCAACAACTTCGAGCATAGTGCTCCCAACAACTACCGGCATAGGTGTGACATGGACATTAAACATGATCTTTATTTTGTCCATGTTCTTCTTAAGACCTATTAAAGTAATACTAGTTTTTACGGAATTTATCGCGTATATTTAACTTTTTAAATACCCGACGTTTCGAGAGCTTTACAGCACCCATGGTCACGGGAAGGACTGAGATGTTCAACGTCCAGATGTCGTAGTTAACCGCGGTTACCATAGATTAAAATTTAACTTTTGTTCCGATCTACACAGTATGAACTTATGGTATCATGAAGTCTTGCAGTTGTATGCTTGGGTTGGTCCCAACCCAAGCATACAACTGCAAGACTTCAACAAAAGTTAAATTTTAATCTATGGTAACCGCGGTTAAATATGACATCTGGACGTTGAACATCTCAGTCCTTCCCGTGACCATGGGTGCCGTAAAGCTCTCGAAACGTTGGGTATTTTAAAAGTTAAATATACGCGATAAATTCCGTAAAAACTAGTATTATTTCAATGTGTAGTGTTCGTGTGGTGTCTCCCAACGGATAGGTCTTAAGAAATCATTATTCTTAAGACCTATCCGTTGGGAGACACCATTGAGGTCATTGAATATAGTCCTCCAGCAATTCTGCCATAAGGACTATATCTATAAGGTGAGTGATGTACTCGCCATTGATGTTAATACCGTATCCTTTCCAGTCCAGTAGATTGAAAACGTCTTCCAATGCAGCGATGAAGAGTTTCGGGGATATAACGTCACCCTGTCTTATACCTCTCTGCAGTTGGATAGGTTTCGAACTCTGGTTCTGTACTTGGATAGCCATCGAAGCCCTACTGTACAAACACTTCAGCACTTTGATATACCGACAGTCAACTTGGCACCGCTGAAGTGACTGCAGCACCGCCCAAATTTCGACGGAATCAAAGGCTTTCTCATAGTCCACATACGCTAGGCAAAGTGGCAGATTGTACTCTTCGGTCTTCTGTACAATCTGCCGCAGGGTATGTATGTGGTCTATGGTACTGAAGCCTTTTCAGAAACCGGCTTGTTCGGGAGGCTGGAAGTCGTCGAGTCTGCGTGCGAAACAATTCGTAATGACTCTCGAAAACAGCACGTAGATGCGGCTCAGAACGGAAATCGGTCTGTATTTCTTCAAGAGGGCGTTGTCACCTTTCTTAAAGAACAAGACCACCGCACTTCTGCTCCACGCCTCCGGAGTAGTGCCACCATGGAGGACGGAATTGAAGAGCTTCTGAAGGACTTTAGTACCGGCGTTCCACGCGCTTTCAGAAGCTTCGCTGTAATTCCATCCTCACCTGGGGCCCTGCCATTTTTAAGATGCTGGAGAGCCATTCTAATATCGCTCAGACAGACGTCCGGGATATCATCGGAATAGTGTCGGATATGACTTGCTCTTGGATCGTTGCTCACACTTGCGTGTGGCTCCAACGATGATGTGTACAGCTGCCCATAGAACCGCTTACTCTCACTTAAAATCTCAGGTGTCCCGGAAACGATGCTGCCACACTCAGTCTTCAGCTTTGACAGTTGGCTCTTTCTGGCCGACAAATCTCTGGCAAAAACTTTGGAGCCCTGATTCCGCTCGATCGCTTCTTCAATACGAGCAGTATTAAAGTTGAGTAAGTCTCGCCGCATGCATTTGGAGATCTGTCTGTTCAGTTGCCTGTTTGCTGTCAAATCTGTTGACGATTGCACCCTCATCCCCCGTCTAACAGCCATGAGATTAAGAGTGTGATCGGATGGTTTTTGTGTTCTTCTGCGGCGGATCTTGCAGAACTTAGCTCCGACCGTATGGACAGTTTCCACTAGCTTGTCATTCATATCGTCCACTGCATTGCAATCTTCTAAGCACTGAAAGCGGTTACGTAACTCGAGCTGAAAGGTTTCGGGATTCTGTATTAGAGCACGAGGGGGACGGAGCGTTGACTTCATTAGACGAGACCTCTCCAACTTAACGTTTAGGTTCAGTCTGCCTCTAACCATTCGGTGATCACTGCCAGTTTTCACCCATGCGATCACTGAGACATCACTGAACAGTTGACTTCTGGTCGTCATAATGAAGTCAAGCTCATTTTTTGTCGAACCGTCGGGGCTTGACCAGGTCCACTTTCTGTGGGGCTGCTTCTGGAAGAAAGAGTTCATCATAAAGATTCCCTCTTTCTCCATGAAGTCAGCCAGCTGCTGACCCTTTAGGTTCTGTTGCCCTATCCCAAATTTCCCTACCTTCAGCTCACCGTTCTTTCTGGTGCCCGGTTTTGGGTTGAAGTCTCCCATTAACACCGTATAATGAGTTTTCGAGGAATTCATGGCTTTAGAAATATCCTCATACATTTCCTCCACCTCCTTATCGGGATGTTCCGACGTTGGCGCGTAAACCCGTATGACCTTCAGCGAATACCGTTTGGTGATTCTGAGTATAAGGTACGCAGCCCTCGTCGATACACTTAACGAGATACTTGTGGACGACAAATCCAACACCCACTTGGTACAGATAGTCGCCCTCCCGGTGATACACAATGCGCCTAGCTATATTTAATAATGAGGCAGGATCTGATGTACTTTTTACAACGAATTTGGTAATTACATTTATAAAACAACGCTTTTTTGTTTATAACTTTCGTTTCATTAGTTTCTTTTAATCATAATTAAATAGTTTTTAGTCGGTTATTTGTGTAGTTATATGCATAGTAAACAACAAAAACACTAGCAATGGGTCACATGGTAAAAAATGCAACATGATGATTAAACACGGATCATTGTGTATAAAGTGGGTTTGTTTCATTGTGTACTACATGTCACATATTTCTATAACCTTGATTGAAATTAATGCAAAATAAAAAAATTTAAGTATGTTTTTTATGTAATTTAAATCTGTTATAGGTACATCTACAATGTCATGCAATATTAAATAAAAAACCAAACTCTATTACATAATAATGAAATATCGACAAATATGAATAAAAAAACTTATTTTTGGCGTAAAATCCATAAAAAAACGATTACGTCGCATTTTTGAAATATGGAATTGTTTCATTGTGTTCTATTGGCTCAATGTTGGCCAGGTGATCCTACTTAATACTAGCTGATACCCGTTCGTTTCGCTGGGTGTGAGTGCGTATGTGTATGTATATAAACGTTTCTTTTTAATTTTGACGTCATTATAACGGATGTGATTTTTAGAAATTTTAGAGTTGCTCTACTATTTTTAAAACAATGTTTATGTAAGCAGTTACGTTTGTTTGTGTGTTCAAATGTTAGATTCTAAGTTTTTTATACATTACGGGTAATTCCCGATGAACGAGTAAAACTAAGTTTAACCGGCATTTCGGATATTATTCGAATATTTATTAATAAAAAATGTATATGTTTATGAATTACACAGGTTCGAATACCGAATACTGAACGACAACGTGCACTTGTACTCGAATAAGTGCAAATTAGACAGCTTACTGTAATATTTGAGTCAGCCTCTCTGCGTTCTACATTGTTTATCTACTTAACTTAACTCGGAACTCCGAACTTTATTAATTTAATTCCTAATTCACAGGATAATATCTACAGCGTCTACTCAAGTAATTAACATTCCAAATTGTTAAATCCATTAAAAGGAATCCCTAGTATTAGAAGTTAAGAAGTTAATAAGTAGGTCATGTAAAACATTGTCTTATATCAACTTATGAACAAGATAGAATTACGTTTAACTACCTACCTCTGATTTGTTGTAATGATGGTGACTAGGATAAACAGATACATATTTCCATCGACAGACGATGGAAAGTCCGTCCGAAATATGTATATCCTCGTTACTCCGTCGGATACAGGAAAAACTTCATTCAATGATCCCTAATGACCAATGAAGAGGCGGTGCGTTCTCTTTAGTGAGAATAACTACAGTTCCGACCGTTAATGGTTTAGTTGCCGTGTTCCATTTCTGCCGAGATTGCAAAGTATGCAGATATTCCGTTCTCGATCGCTTTCAAAATGACTGCACTAGCCTGTCCATTAAAAAAAATCTACTTCCTTCTCTAACCCCTCCATGCCGCGAACTTATTGACCCGCCCTCGTAGTTGCCACGCTTGGCAGACGTTGAAATCGCTGTTTTTTTCTTATTCTGAGTTGTTCACCGATGTTGCTGTACCGACCATGTACTGTTTCATTTCCCTCTTTTGTCTTTGTGGCGGCGCTGTAGTGTAACGCACCGAAGTATTGCGGTATATATAGAATAGCTCCAAACTACCACATGGAACATTGGCCGCTCCCCGGACTGAACACCTGGCCTGGCTAGCTGAATATCTCTCATCCCTTTTCATACCACGGTCAATCATCTATCAGGGGATTCTCTCACGTCACCACTTACTTTAATTTTATACACTGGCTTAGGCTTCACTGACCATCGCTTGTCAAGGGCACACCCTCTGAAACCCTTATAATTATACCTTTTAAATAAAGTAAAACCCGACTTCAAATTGCTAAACAAGAAGTTATTTTATTTGCAACTCTTAGGGTTGGAATTTTTTCTCTGAATTGATATGGAACCACCTTTAAACCTATTTAAGAAAAAAGAATCATTAAAATCGATTCTTCATCTGCGAAGATATTAAATGAAATTTCTTAAACAATAGTTCAATATGAAACTTTTTATTTTATTTTCCAACCTTAAAGGCGGAATTTATTATTTAAAATTTAATGGGACTACCCTTAAGGTAAAGCCTATTTGATTAAAAAAATATTATTAAAATCGGTTTACCATCTGCGAAGATATCGCGTAACATATATACAAAAAAGAACATACACTCGAATTGAGAACTTCCTCCTTTTTGAATTTGTTTAAGAACTCTGATAAAGACGTCAAAGAGCTTTACGGTGCTATCTAAAAATCTAAGTATTAAATATGCGATATATTAATAGGTGCATCTATTTTAATCTATAAAATATTCAAATACTTCATTAACATGTTTAGCAATCCACTTGAGTTAGATACGAGTAATGTTAGCGATTAGACACAACAACGCTAAAACTAAAAGCTCTATATAGAAGTAGGTCAAACTTATACTATTCCAACCACAGAAATCGTAATAATGTTATTATTATTTCTGTGATTCGAAGCGTAACTAATACGTGATTATTCGTAGAGTAATTAATAAATTCTGTTGCATTTCAACTTTTGATGAAGGAAAACTCTATTAGCCTATAAAAGTCCACTGCTGAACATACTCCTTCCTACAGATTGCCTCATAGCGGAGCCTATGCCATAGTTGCAACCGCAACCCGGTAGTCAACCGCAGTTTTTAATTATTTTGAGTGACTATCAGGTAAATAGTGCTACTCACTATTTAAGTTTCCCTCTGTTACTTACCTCTTATGACACACGACGAACGCTCGACAATACCACTCATTAAATTAAACTACATAGTTTGGCCGATTTTTACTTTTTTAATTCCCGACGTTTCGAGCACTTTACAGAGACTGAGGTGTATGAAGTCCTGATGTCATAGTTGACGAAGGCTGACTTCAACTTTAAAATATTTATCTACGAATCACATCAACTGTATATACATGAAGCACCGATGCTGCGAGAAGTCTGCAGTATTTCAACATGTCCAAGATCGTCCCAACCAATCAGATTTGATAGACCACAAATCCTCGCAAAAGAACTCCGATTCCTACCAAGGATGATTCGCGACACTACTGAAATTTAAAAAAAAAACATACTATACTTAATTTCAATAGATAAGATAGCTCGGTGCAAGTAATATTTGCAGTAATGGACTTGATTTTATGTCGCAATACGTACCCTGTCTTCAGTTAATACAATACAAAGTAACCAACATTTTCACTCAACGCCTTAGAGGTGTTAAAGTTAATCCGCATTTATGGAGCGAGCTCATATAACGATAGATTGTGGCCGCTTGATAACGTTACAGATCATTAGACTTAGTTCGATCCATTAAGCTGCCAGGTATTTAGATAATTGTATTAAAAGATCCTAATGGCTTAAAACTACAACAGTAATGGAAGGGGTGTACAGGTTTTTAAGTACATCCCTTTCAAGTAATATGATACGTGGTAGAGTACTATTACACGTGGTAGAGCCATGCTATAGTTATATTAGTAGTATAGTTGTAGCATGAATCGGTTGGCTCGACCGGGGAAGGACCGCGCTGTCACAGAATACCAGCGTCAAATAGTAGCTTAATGCTGCTGTGTTTCGTATGGTGAGTGTAGAGAACCGGAGGACCTTTTTATTGGAAACGAGGCGTTCCATCTAAGTACTCACGGGTGACAACGCATCTGCATTTTGATTCGTAATCGAGGATAGATGTAGATGTCTATGGGCCGCAGCAACCACTTACTATCAGATGAACTGTGTGCTCGTATATCACCCTAACCTATAAAAAAATATATGATAGGTCACCTTTACTGTCTCGGACTCCGTCTAGGTAGGTACCACCGTAATACTAGAGTATTATTACTCGTGTGGCCGTGGAAGGAAAAGGGGAGATCTCCCGCCGGGCAAGGTGTTCTGCCCGGGGAGCGGCCAGCACTCCGAGTGATAGTTCGGAGAAGTTCTATATATACTGTCTATGATCTACAACATCACCCCCCTGCTCAGACCGGAGGTCGATAGTGCAGCCTCGTTGCCGACGAATGTGCAAGTGCCAGGAGATTGCCTTGTAGTCTGCGGTGAGTCGAGACGAAGGCAAGTAATCTGCGAGAGTGCCGTGAAGCAGAGGCGAGCAGTAAGGCTCAGAGCCGTGCCGAACACTGTATAGCGCAGAGAATAGCTTGAAGGAACAAGGAACCATTATTATTCCAGTGCTGCGATGAACCTTGTGAAGCTAGATGGCTTGCAGGATATGAATACTGCAGTTGATATCTGCTCGGGAGCGAATGGGTGGGGTATTCGATGACGATGATGAAGCTTGAAGTTTCCAAAGGTTGTTTGGTTGCGTGTTCATATCACGTCGGGGTCACCACTGTGGCCGTGATAGGAAAAGGGGAGATCTCCCGCCGGGCAAGGTGTTCTGCCCGGGGAGCGGCCAACATTCCGAGTGATAGTTCGGAGAAGTTCTATATATACTGTCTATGATTCGGAATGTTAATAGCGCGATTTAAGCTTCGGTGTGTTTCGGTGTGCTAGTGGCGCGACGACAGCGCCGCTACAAACCCCTTTGTCTTATCTCCTCAGTTTCAAGGCACTCCCCTTGTTGCTTCAGCCAGTATCGGAATCCTCGACATCGACATATCGAGTGACGAGCAGTTTCCTGGTCACTTGGAAGAGAAGACAAAATTGGCCTCTAAAAAGCTAGGCGTACTCAGCAGAGCGGGACAGTATTTCATGCCGGTACACCGCTTGCAACTTTACAAGGCGCAGGTTCGGCCTCACATGGAATACTGTACGCATCTCTGCGCTGGGGCTCCCCAGTGTTAATACTTAATATCATCAATTCATCAAATCATTATTGTATAATTTTAGTAGATGTCAAATTTAAAAAAAAAGAAGAATATTGTATATATACACAAAAGTTTCAAAATTTATCATAAATATATTCTTGTATCAAAGTTAAGTAGTAAACTTTTTCAACTAATATATTTACTTAAGTTTATTATTTACACTAACATTAACGTCTATATACGTCCCACAGCTGGGCACAAGCCCCCTCTTACTTATGAGAGGGTTTAAGGCAAAGAATTGTCCGCCGCGCTGCCCCAATGCGCTAACATTACCCCTAAAATATACAAACGGTGAGTTTGGCCGCAGCATCAACAGACGCCGACTCGAATCAAACCTTAATCATAGAGAAAGTTCTATAAATACTTGATATCGTAATTGAATACGTAACCATAAATCAACAAACTTCTAACGTTAGAAACTTATTTCCAGGACTATCAGTACCGTCCAGCCCAGTCGTTCCCGTTCGGAAACAGTGCGGACATCATCCGCAGCGTGGCGAGCAAGTCGTGGGAGCGCAGCAACAGCCTGTTTCCGCCCGCGCTGCCCGTCTCTAGCGACCTGCGACCCGCGCCCGTGAAGAGGACTTACGATCCCATGCTGCAGACTAACATTATCAGTAAGCACATAAATACCTCTGTTCCAACACCCACGGGATTAAATTAGATGATGGATTCCATTACCTCGTCATTCATTCCTTATAGCCATAGGTGAGATACCTATGGTTACCAAATAGATACCAAAGATTGCCCCATAGGGAGGATGTTTGACATTACTCTCTAAATACACCGCTGCACATGTCCTGGTATGTTTCTATTAATCACCTCTTACGACACTAAAGGAACGATATGAGTCAGTACTCGTAGATATGCTTACACCGCCACTACACGGACAAAATAGGATGATGGGCTTCCTTACGTCGTCACTGCACAGAACACCTGCATTTCTTAGCATTAACTCAACAAAACAAGTTCAAA